TATATATATATATATATATATTTATGCATTGTAAATTGTATACACACAGAAAGAAGACACAGTAAGAAATATTAAAAGTACAGAGGATGGTAATGACAAGAAAAGGCAGACTGTATAAAGTTATGTGTAAATTCAGGAGGCTGCAATCAGAGTTTGGCTCACAAGTCCCTGAAACAATAAAAAGCAATGAATATATAAATATATATATATATATATATATATATATATATATATATATATATATATATATATATATATATATATATATATAATGACTAGAGAAGAAAAACAATTGATGTATATTTAATTACATTCATAATGGCTGTTAATGAGTATTGTACAAATGAGTATGATTTATAATATCCAAGTTTCAGATATAAACTGAAGGTACTTATTTTTATATATTTTTTTAAACTAGTTTGTTAATGTATGAACAATATAAACAGTCAATACACCATTTTGAGATTGATCCACATTCATGACCTTATTTGCATAATTGCAGTTTCTTATAAATTCTTTGGCAATTAAGATATCATAGACTACTGGAAGACATAATATAAATTTGATATACTCTATTAGCATATTTCAAAGTTACCGCCGAGTGGTAGAAATATCAAAATAGATTTAGATTCAAAGGCTAAGCTTTGGAAAGATTTACAAAGGTTAAGGGAGTTTAGGAGGTAATGCGATTAATGAGCAACATAGAACCAATAATATATTACTCAACTATCTCTAGCACAGTCTAATTCAATTCACTTCAGGACAGGTGGGTCACGTCTAAAGACTTTACACAAGCCTAAAGTAAATGTGTAAATATATTGGGCTAAGCTCCATACTGTTGTGGGAGTTACACACGCGGAAAGGGAGTAGTGATACTTTGACTTTTAAATACTGCACTGTACACAAACCACAGATAATATAAATATTGTTGTAACCCACTATTTTTCTTTCAGATTCAGGAATCCTGAAGATAAAAAAAATGCCGTTACCACTTCAAGAAAGATACTCATTTTTTTGAAAGCTGCATTAGTTTTTGAAGCTATGAAAATCACAAAGGAGGATTTGGAACAGCAATATGGTGCAGATAGGTCTCCGATCAGCTTAAACATGGAACGCCTGTAAGATAGACTTAATAAAACAAAAGTGTTTTGAACGAATCGAAAAGTGGAAGATTGTTAGTGCTTATTTAAAACTAGATAATAGCTATTAATGCTTCAATAATCAAAAGCTAAAAAAATCTTTAATAATACATTCTTTGCAGAGTGGTCTGTGTCTGGGTTCTTGATCGTAAGGCATTGACGAGAGCGTTGAATTTGTTTCCATAATAAAAAAAAGGGCAGTACCGGAGTTGCTGCCGCAAACCCGCAACAATCCTCTTCGTTATTGTCAGTGGGTTATGGTATATGTGTCTCCAGATGGTGAAGAACTCGAAGACTGCTTCTGGACAGATGACTCTTGGTTTCATTTGGATAACTACTGATGCCTTCAATGTGGTCGACTTAAAATCCTCGGGAGCCTCACATGACCCCCTTCTCCACCCCCCTGAAAAATCTGATATACTGTTTCGTGAAAGAGAATAACCATTAGTTTCTTAAATGACATTATTAACAGTGAATGTTATATTACGAGCCTGCAACATTTTTTGGGGTACTATCACAAGACAAATTACTGATAACATGGTTTCAACAAAACAGTGCTACTGCCCTCACTTCCCTTATATTATTAAATTGTTTAGACTGTTTTTTATGAGCAGCTGTTTTTAAAAGGATCATGTTACCTAGGTCTCCAGATCTTATCCCACTTGAGGCCTTTGATGGGGATTTTTAGAGAACAAAGTGCATTCAAATCGCTCTCATACACTGGAAGTACTTGATGCACAAGTGAACTTGATGCACAAGTGAACTTGATGCACAAGTGAACTTGATGCACAAGTGAACATTAAGCATGTAATAGATGGCATATTAATAGAGATGTTAATAAATGGGTTCGATAACATGATTCGTCGTGCCAACCATAATGGCCAACATATAAAAAAAAAATGCAATTTACTCAAAACATGCAAAGCCGATGAGTCTCATTTCATTTCGAACACGCTTGTACAAACACTATATTATACAGAGCACATGTCTAGGCTGGAACTCAGGAGCTAGTAATCACGGGTTGATGACTATCCCACTCTCCTAACACCTCGCTAAAAGAATTCAAACTTTTAAATCCAAGAAAGACTGTGTCAAGAGTTGGCAATCTAAGTTTCTAACCAGTTTTATACAATTCCCGTCTAACCAGTTTTACACAATTCCCGTAAGTTTCTAACCAGTTTTACACAATTCCCGAAAGTTTCTAACCAGTTTTACACAATTCCCGTAAGTTTCTAACCTGTTTTACACAATTCCCGTAAGTTTCTAACCTGTTTTACACAATTCCCGTAAGATTCTAACCTGTTTTACACAATTCCCGTAAGATTCTAACCTGTTTTACACAATTCCTGCAAGCACCTGTTGCAGGAGTACGTGCAATATTGTTTAGCTGTGTGCTCGGAATATTAATGAATGCACACAACTGTGTAACAAATATTATAAAAAACGCGTATCCGAATCGTTGGTTGAGTGGATAGAATGACGAACTGGTGATTACTCAGTTACGAGTTCGAACCCAGATACTTGCTCTATAAAAATCCTATCTGCACTGTTCCTAAAGCTTCAGAGTTCATAATAAAGTAGTTTTGCCTTTAAATCATTATCACTTAAAAACTGTATATCATTTATTAAATTTCTTGAACCATTAATATACAGTATATAAGGTTTTTTATCACTGTCTACCCCCATTAAATTTAAGCTATTTAATTGAATTACTTTAAGTTATGCCTGAAACATTTTGACATTTAATGGCGCTTTATTCAATATACATTTTCTGCAGCTGCTAATTAACATGTGCTTGATGTATAATGCCTCGCCAATGTTCAGTCTTCTTTTGTCGCTGTATTGATCGACAGTGGACACGCCAAGCTAACCATCAACAGCCAACTAACTCCCAATTATACTACACCATCTTCGAAAACACGACGAAGCACACAATATACTCCCCCAGCCATCATGGAAACAAAAGACTGGTAGGTTGCAATGGGCCTATTGGTCCATAAATGAGGTGCTTAACCTTCATCTCATTCCAGACTTTATATCCAGCAGCACAAAAATCTTTAACTATTCGAACTCTGGGTTTGATGATGTTGACAAAGGTCAACGAAACGCATGTCTTAGCGTCAGACCATAATAAAATTGTAAAATGCACTTTGAAGAGTTAATTTTTCAACTTCCTTCTCTAGTTAAGAAAAACTTAAAAACATAGTGAAGATTCGTGCTAGAATAATTGATCTCACCATTTCTGTCATATTCAATAACATATGTCAACAAGAAAGACTACTACCAAAATATATCACTAAGAACTCTTTGACACGACCAGGATTCGAATCTGCATTACCAGGACTCACCCCCTGGCATACACAGTACCAATAACACTTCACCAGAAATTGCCTATAAGTATTGGTTAGTCCTGGAGCTCACTAACTGAGCTCCAGGACTAACTTGTAGGCTCAACGCGACCCGTCCATGCACTAGGATTTGACGAAAATCTGTGTCTAAATGGCATTACAAGTCATGCTAAATAGCGAGTTAATTCCTAGCCTAGGTAGGCAAAATCCATTTTGCCTAACAGCTAAAGCAACCACTAAATTACATAAACTAAAATTTTGTAAAAATAATTCACCTTCAATAATATCAACGTATCGTTTTGAAAACGTGAAATTAGGACTAGTTTTACTTAAGTTGAGAGTATTTTAAAATAATAGATGTATGTAATAAAGCCAGATCTTGTTTCTATACTAATTTTGAAAAAATTGCCCTCTTGTATATTATAATGTTTTTTGTAATTTGCATATTGACAAAAAAAATTTTGCTTGTTAAGTAACTGCTTATTAAGTACTATATTTTTGTGTGAATATTTTATATATATATATATATATATATATATATATATATATATATATATATATATATATATATATGTATATATAAACCACGATAGTATGGTTTAATGGTTCAACCACACTATCGTGAAAATATACTGAATATAGATATATATATTTTTTTCACTTAGGCACTAGGAGACTCGAACCGCCGACCCCAAGGTGTGAGGCGAGAGCTCTTCCACTGAGCTATCATGGGAGGTCCAATATGAAAGATTTGAGAGGCAAGGAAAACCCTGTCCAACTGAAATTTTATACCTTCCCAGCCTCCATCTTAAGCACATTGGAATTAGTGATCCACGCCCCATGTCATATAAACTGTCAACCACACTATCGTGGAAATAAACATCTCATTAATACTTATAGTTACACTCAAGATGCTCTTTCTAAACAGGTGAATTGTGGAAAATTAACGAAACATTGCTAAATTAAAACTTATTTTCAAAACGAATAGGATGACGTTTCTCCTTGAATTAACATCTTGTAACATTTCTTTTCTTGTCGCAGTTAAGGTATAAATTTCTTATTTTAAAGTTATTTTAATAACTACGAGAGAGAGATTACGCCAAAACTAGATTATCATATAATCTAAAAATATATAGACTGCTGTACAGTGGTTTCACTGAGTGTATATGGTACTATGTTTCATTACATTCATTTTTATTGCAAAATAAAGTATACAAACGTTCGCGTTATATATTTAAAAATGAATATTTCCTTTTCATTAACAATATACTTATTTTTCTTAATATTGCAAACAGTCTGGAATGTAAAAAATGCTTCTAAATTGTTTTTGAAGCAATGTACACAGAAATGCTCTCCACATTCAACATATATATTGCAGCAACACCATTTAAGCTTAAGACTGTCCGTGTGTATTGTATGTGAAATACTTCCTTTAGTAGATTCATTGCTTTAGGTTGTGGTTGTATTTAGAATTGATATATATTTTAGAATCAAGGCCAAAAACACGAAAGAGTATACATTACACTTATAATTTAATGCCCAAACGTGAGATTCTGTAGCTCTACAGACCAGCATGGCATATGGGAACTAGAATCCCGATTCAGTCCATTTTTCCTGGGTTTCTGTTTGTGAGCCTCAGTAGCCTATCTGCAGTCCTGACCAATGGAATGTTTGATTCCATATCTCTTGTCACACTCCTGTAAGTATGAGATTCCTGAACATCTGGTTTCAAAACAACAACTTCTTGGTTCTGGCCTCAATCACAAAAGTATGTATTTATCTTTCTGTCCTTCATTCTGAATGTATGTGATTCAGTACTTCCAGGCTTGATCCAGCAAGTACGTGATTCCGTAGTTGTGACTTTAAATTACTGAACATTAGTTACAATATATACAAAATAAATAATATATGAGACATTACACATATCTACAGAGATGAAGTTTACAAAGGTATACAGTTATTAATACTACTATTGGGTAGTAAATATACAGTAGCAGCACCCATTAGGAAAGTTTGTTTATACAAAATCATTTTATATATATCGTTTTTTAAAATATCATGATACTTTATTAATAGCATTCTTCACTAATACGTGACCTATATTGATATTTCCGTAAAAATGCTACTTATTAGCATTTGGAGGTAATTATAAAAATGACAAAGGTGTAACACTTTTGTAGCATAATCATCAATTTTGCACTCTGGAATGCATATCAATAAGGCTTCTTTTTCTTGTTATTATGCTGCATTTGGAAAATAATTACTACTGAAGGACTCTCCACAGTTCAAAATTGTTGAAGATGCCACATATGGACGTATTGTAAATATCATTTTCATGATATTACTTCTAACAAATCTAAGTGTTTCTTGTGAAGTATTGAAAGGGTCCATTTTTTATATTTTTGTTTAGTATAACACAAGATTCGAATTACAGTACAGTTAAAAAAATATGTCATATAATCACTAATTTCTTTCCATGATCAGAAAGCGTAATAACGTTTTCTTACTGTCCTTGGAACTGAAGCTGTATCGTCCCACACAATCTGCCCAAGACCATGCAACAACGCAGTACACAGCATACCCAAAGTGCTTCATGGCAAGCAGTGGTGGCACAACACTACTTCCTGTTAAGTCCTCAACTCATTAATTAGATCAACTTTACTTGGAGACAAGCCATACTACAGGGCGGTGTTCTGCTCATAGCTGAAGCCGGGAGTATAACTGAAGGAGTGCAGGAGCTGGGGTTTTAGCAGTTCATTGGAGTCCTCGTCATCGCCTATTTGAGTGGAAGAGGTGCTAGGGGAGATACGGTACTCCTGGTTCACATACCCAGTGCTGCTGGACTCCAGGTTAGAGTTGCTCTTTTTCAGGATACTCTTGGGTTTACAATCACTGCTGGGGGTGGTGGGGGAGCGTCCTAAGCTACCGTAAGTGGTGAGGTTATCGGTGGTGTTGTGGCGGTTGGCCAGGGTCAGTCGAGGCCGCTCTCGTACCGAGGGTGATCTTTCTCGGATGTTGAGACTGTCCAGGGTCACCTTTGTTGATTCCACCTGTCGAAAACGTGTTTTCTTTTGCAATTGTATCAGGTATATAAAAATACCTACATAACAGAGTTTAAACACAGTTGAAGGTTTCATCATTCAAAACAAAACATTCATTAAACCGTACACCAGATCAAGAGTTTGTGAGAGCGTTAATAGTTACCACTGTCAGCATCTCCTCCATACCTACCAGTCGTAAGGTGTACTTTGCAAGGTAAGTATAGTAGCGCCACCACTCAGAGGTTTTCACCTTCAGTACAACTAATAAAGGTGACAATATGTACAATATGACATAAGCAGTTCTGTATTAGAACTGTAACTGCGAGAGTTTCCTTGTCTGCCCCCATAGTTTTCTCAATCTGATTCTCAATCAGTTTTCTCAATCAAACACATTATTTAGAGCATTCTCAGTCATTTCATGGCTCTTACGTTTCTCAAATAATCAGCTCACGTATTCTCTAGTATTTGTTAACTCACGCCATTCATCTTAACCCCATGCAGGCGATGAGTCACAATAACGTGGCTAAAGTATGTTGACCAGACCACACACTAGAAGGTGAAGGGACGACGACGTTTCGGTCCGTCCTGGACCATTCTCAAGTCGATTGAGAATGGTCCAGGACGGACCGAAACGTCATCGTCCCTTCACCTTCTAGTGTGTGGTCTGGTCAACATCTTAACCCCATCCTCTCCTTCTAAAGTATACAAAAGGACACCTAGAGATCCTACAACGTACTCACCTGTTCCATGGCCATCTTGCACTTCTTCTTGAGAGCGACAATTCTATCCAGCTGGCCCCTGATGATCCTCACATTCCAGGCATAGTTCTCCATGGCCCTGTTGGCCTTCTTGCCCTTCACGCCACTCGAGGAGAGGAGGGTCTCCAGGTTGTCATACATCACCAGAACGGGCTTGAGCTTGCACTCGAGGATGACTCGTAGCCCCTCGCCGTGAGTGAGGAAGTGGTGGATCTCCAGCAGCACCTGCGGGTGTTGTCAAGCCAGATGATTTGCGAGGTGGGTTAATGCAGCTGGAAGGGGAGCTCTTAACAGACAGCATCAAGAGGGAGTTATTGGTAGTTTGGCAAGTTTGAAGGGGTTATCCAGGTGGATGTCAGGTTGCTTGGAGTTGTCAGCTGGCAGGTTGCACGACAGAAACATTAGAAGGGTGATGGGGGTTTTAATTTGGGGTGAATGGTAGGGTTGTAAACAGTAAATTGGCTATTTGCAACATAGCAAAGCTACTAAAGCTACTATCTTCGGGGTACGTTGCTGATAATCATGACTTAACACTATTATAAACAGCTACTTAAACTTTTTATTACTCTTATATTGATACAATCTAAAATATTTTGTATTACTGATTGGCTAATCAGCACTCCATTACCACTACTACAATCACTATTAATATTACTTGTATTAAGCTAATATTACTACCATGATACTAATAATATTACAACTTTTCACTGCACGATACTGGTAACCTCATCATCGCTAGCGTTATATGGTCACTGTAACTCAACTTGTGGGTGACAGTGATGCTGATAGTGCTGTTGTTCTCACTGTAACCACAGTGCCTCTACAAAATACTGTGACCATTACTGATACCACTGCAGCAACGACTATTACCAGTAATACCGCCACTCCCAAAACTGTTAATACGGTATTAACTCAAATCTGACAGAGTTAAATGCAAATTCCCTTATATCACAACGGGGCAACTAATATAAAGAGCCTCGCCCAGGGAGAAGTGAAGGCTTGGCGCTTCATAGTTCCCTTCCCTTCCCCTCCCCTGGGGGGAATGTTAGTGTCAGAGGGAGTGCCTCCCCCGGGGGGAAGTTAGTGTCAGAGGGAGTGCCTCCCCCGGGGGGAAGTTAGTGTCAGAGGGAGTGCCTCCCCCGGGGGGAAGTTAGTGTCAGAGGGAGTGCCTCCCCCGGGGGGAATGTTAGTGTCAGAGGGAGTGCCTCCCCCGGGGGGAAGTTAGTGTCAGAGGGAGTGCCTCCCCCGGCGGGAATGTTAGTGTCAGAGGGAGTGCCTCCCCCGGGGGGAAGTTAGTGTCAGAGGGAGTGCCTCACCCCTCCCCCCAGGAAAGGTAGCGTCAGTGGGAGTGCCTCACACCTCCCCCCGATCCCCCCCTGGGACGAAGGTAGAGACAGCGAGGCAGGGAGGGAGTCAGGGGGGGGCCGCCACCCCCTACCAGACCCCCCAATATACCCACCTTCTCCAGCGCTGTTTCTAATCTATGCAGGTGTGACGGCAGGGGCCCAGGACGAGAGCTTTTCAAGAAAGGAACCTGAAAAAGAACATTTTCAGTACAATCACTGTAAACCTTTCGGTGTCCTGGGTGACTGCAGGTTACCTTATTATTATTATTGGCAAAACACTGTATATTGATATGACTAATCTTCAATATATTTCTGAAGGTGTCATGTTGTTGATGAAAATTGTTGTTGTCAACAACTGTTATAATACGGTTGTGTTCAATTACATGAGTATGTATGTACGTATGTATGTATGTATGTATGTATGTATGTATGTATGTATGTATGTATGTATGTATGTATGTATGTATGTATGTATGTATGTATGTATGTATGTACGTACCTACGTATGTATGTATGTATGTATATATGTATGTATGTATGTATGTATGTATGTATGTATGTATGTATGTATGTATGTATGTATGTATGTATGTATGTATGTATGTATGTATGTACGTACCTACGTATGTATGTATGTATGTATGTATGTATGTATGTATGTATGTATGTATGTATGTATGTATGTATGTATGTATGTATGTATTTATCTATACCCTTACGCATTCTTTACTTCACGCAATATGATTTATTTATTCATTTATTTTATTGTATCACACCATGTTACAGTTTACAGAAAAGACATGGAGAGAATTGTTGGAAAAACTCATCCAGTTGTAGAGAGGCGAGGTGCGTGGCCAGGATGGGGTAGGTGTTTCCCTCCCTGAGGTGAAAGAGGAGGAGAGGGCTAGTACCTACCCAGTCACAGCCCCGCTCTTGTACCAGGTAAGTCCACTACGGGCTCACCATAGCCCGTGCTACTTGGAACTTTTTGTTCCCAGTAGCTGAATCTAAAACAACAACATAATACCTACCCCTTACGGGCTAGTCATGCCCGTGCCTCCTCTTGGGCAAGCTTAATCTTCATCAATCAGTTAGTACGTACCCACGGGAGACATCTCCCGTCACGCAGGGTGCAGCCGCACCTCCACAGATCTCCAGTATCATCTATTGATACCGGTAATGGCTCAAAAGGGCCACCACTTACGGGCTATTCATGCCCGTGCCACCTTTTGGGTGGCTTAATCTTCATCAATCATCAATCATCAGCAATTACGGCACGGGAGACATCTCCCGTCACGCAGGGTGCAATCGCACCTCCACAGATCTCCAGTATCAGCTATTGATACTGGCTCAAAAGGGTTTTATGGCTCAAAAGGGCCACCACTTACGGGCTATTCATGCCCGTGCCACCTTTTGGGTAGCTTAATCTTTATCAATCAATCAATCAGTACGTACCCCATTCTCCTCCTGGATGGTGAGACGGTTGGTGTCAGGCGTGGCCATGTATCGGGAGATGGCCACTCTGAGACACTGCTTCATGTTGGCCGTGTGCTCCAGCCCACACTCCTCCTGCAGGTCACACCACGCACTCTCCACCTTCATCTGCTCGTTGTCTGCCTCTATCAAAGCTGCCGACGCCTCCTGCAGGGGGCCACAGAGATAACACCTGCTCATGGAAATAAATGTTGAGGGGGTGGACGACGAATATTTTCCTCTCACGTTCCAGTTTTGTTTATGTTCAATTTCGGTGTCAATGGAGACATTTATTTGCTCTCCTTTGTCAAGTTTCTACAAATTAAATTGACTTGGACATATCAAGGACATATGTTTTGGGCTCACAGGGGGATCCATCCCTAATTATAACAAATAAATAGGGATGGATCCCCCTGTGATCCCAAAACATATCCTAGATACAGTCTTAGTGAATAACTAGTTCCCAGAGCCCCACTTCCTTCACTGGAACTAACATACAACACGTCTTCTCAAATAATGCGTCTCATTTTGTACGCTATAGTTCCCCCAACGTACAAAATAAAGGGTAATATGCAACGGAATTTTTACCTCCAATCAGGCTTTAATTCATCCACTTATCTAGTCTGTCACTTTACATTTCAGCCAAGATTTGACCTCAAATGAGCAGGGCGGAAGGACTTACCTTGAACAGGTCGTCAGCGGCCCTCAGCCCCACCGGCTTGATGTCCGCCTGGACCTTGTCTGTCCTCTTGCCCTTGACCCGCTGATACTTCTGCCAGGAGACACACACACACACGGAGGTAATGCTCAAGAACCTTCCAGTAATGTATAACAAATACATAACAGTTTACGACAATATATAGGACAAGCAATAGGCTGCTATAATGTATAACAAACATATAATAGTCTACCATAAAGTATAGAACAAACAATAGGCTGCTATTATGCATAACAAGCCTATAATAGACTACCATAATGTATAACAAACAATGACGGATAAATACCGTACAATGCATAATAAGTGACTTTCCTGAATAGAAGAACTGAGAGACATGTTTCGTATATCTGGAAGAGCCAGATTTTTCTATTATTATGGTACTGATTCAAGCCAACCCATCCCACCCTAACCTCTATTACGTGGAGGTTAATGGAAATGTGTTATTATTGGGCATTTTCTCTACATCAATTCAACTTAACCTTTTGTAACCATAATGGTTTAGAAAGACTAGTGCAATATGTTATTATTCTCATGGTGGCTGAGAGACGTACCACCACAAGCCTGCTGGGTGTCAAATGACTCTCACCCCAAAGGCCTATGAACACAAGGGTTACTTGATGCGTGTGTGAACTGCCAAGATGAGTGGCCGATCATCTATATTCTCTCTGCGCCACAGAATCAAACGTGCTGCATTTCTTCTTGTGTTGTAAGAAAGTTATGTAACGCATACGATCGAAATGCGACGTTCATTGTAGGAGGACAGGTTGTAGGAGGACAGGTTGTTGGAGGACAGGTTGTAGGAGGACAGGTTGTAGGAGGACAGGTTGTAGGAGGACAGGTTGTAAGAGGACAGGTTGCAGGAGGACAGGTTGTAGAAGGACAGGTTGTAGGAGGACAGGTTGTGGAGTGACAGGTTGCAGGAGGACAGGTTGTAGGAGGACAGGTTGCAGGAGGACAGGTTGCAGGAGGACAGGTTGCAGGACAGGTTGTAGGAGGACAGGTTGTGTGACCAGTGCATCACAGTTGCTGAAGCAATAAGAAAGATTGCAGTGCAATATAAACTTCTCTCTCACTCAGTGCCAGCCCAGAGGTGGTGTACTGAGCTCCGCTGTGGCTGCTACAGAACCCTTCTCACATGCTATATAATAGTGACATAAGACATTACCATCTTGAGGTTATCTTGAGATGATTTCGGGGCTTTAGTGTCCTCGCGGCCCGGTCCTCGACCAGGCCTCCACCCCCAGAAAGCAGCCCGTGACAGCTGACTAACACCCAGGTACCTATTTACTGCTAGGTAACAGGGGCACTTAGGGTGAAAGAAACTTTGCCTATTTGTTTCTGCCTCGTGCGGGAATCGAACCCGCGCCACAGAATTACGAGTCCTGCGCGCTATCCACCAGGCTACGAGGCCCCATAAATACATAACCACTTCCATAAACACTTCTACTGCACACAGAGGGACGAGTGGTGTTGACCATTTGGGAGTACAAGCCGCGTACTCTTTCTACACCGCCCCTCATCTCGTAGTACAATTGCCTTGTTTTCCAATAACAATCAATAGATTCTGGGTTTGGTTCCGTGGAGGTGACAGAAATGGTTGGGGGTATATTTCCTTTCATCTTATGCCTCTGTTCACCTAGCAGTAAACAGGCCCAACCGCTTGGACGGTCGGGGATTGAACGTCGACCTGTCTGAAGCGAGACCGTCGCTCTACCATCCTGCCCCAAGTGGTTGGGCACAATTAAAGTAGAAAAAAAGAAAGAATATGGTTGGTCTCTTAACAGCATTACTAAATGGAGGTTCAAATTCCTCAGAGATACCCTGGCTGGGGTACGAAGATACGAGATACCCTGGCTGGGGTACGAAGATACGAGATACCCTGGGTGGGTACGAAGATACGAGATACCCTGGCTGGGGTACGAAGATACGAGATACCCTGGCTGGGGTACGAAGACTGACAATTTTAGAGGTCTGAAACCAGAGAAAATACCAACTACCAATGTCTGAATAATATAAATAATGGTTGTACATCATAAATGCACAACCATTTATCATAACAATTATGAATTAAAAATTAAATGAATTTAAATGACGGGAATAAGAAGAGAGAGAGAGAGAGAGAGAGAGAGAGAGAGAGAGAGAGAGAGAGAGAGAGAGAGAGAGAGAGAGAGAGAGAGAGAGAGAGAGAGAGAGAGAGAGACAGACAGAGACAGACAGAGACAGAAACAGAGAGAGAGAGAGAGAGAGAGAGAGAGAGAGAGAGAGAGAGAGAGAGAGAGAGAGAGAGAGAGAGAGAGAGAGAGAGAGAGAGAGAGAGAGAGAGAGAGAATTTGGCCCTCCTTATGGAAGAAGGCAGACGTTGTTCCAGTGCACAAAAAGAAGAGCCGCTCAGTAGTTGGTAACTACAGACCTGTGTCACTGCTTTCCATTACTGGCAAGATCCTAGAATCATTAATTGCTCAGCAAATGACATCATTTTTTGACCGTCATCGGCTAATTTGTGATCGACAGTATGGTTTTAGAAAAGGCCGATCTGCTGCTGATCTTTTGCTAAATCTCTCCTCTAAGTGGCATCAGTCACTGGATGAGTCCAAGATCAGCTGTGTTGTTGCTCTAGATATAGCAGGAGCCTTTGATCGGGTCTGGCACTCTGGACTAGTGGTGAAGCTTCAAGCTTTAGGCATTGCAGGCTCCATCTTAGTGTTATTAAAAGACTACCTTCAAGAACGGACTCTAAGGGTGGTCCTCAATGGAGCAGAATCCGATAGCCACTCAATTGGTGCCAGCGTTCCACAGGGTAGTGTGCTTGGCCCTCTGCTGTGGAATGTTTATTTCAACGATCTTCTTCATCTCATTCCTGAAGCTCAAGCCTATGCTGATGACTGTACTCTAACCTTTACATACAGAAAGGAGGAAATGCTAACTGCTGCAAGAATCATTAATCACAAACTTTCAGCAATTTCTACCTGGGGTAGGAGATGGCAGGTCACATTTGCGGCTGAGAAGACTCAAGCGATGATGATAACTAGACTGCACATGGCGAATCGGACAGAACTGCAAATGGGTGGCAAATCCCTGGAGTTCACAGAAGAATTTGACATCTTGGGAATGAAGTTCGACTCTTCAATGACAATGAAGAGCCATGTGATAAACCTAGCTAAAAAGGCAGCCAGGAAACTTACAGCACTACGGCGCATCTCATATCTTCTTGACAGCAAGGGATGCAAAACCTTATATGAAGCTCAAGTTCGCTCCCATCTTGAGTATGCACCCCTTTCCTGGATTGCCTGCCCCCCATCTTTCGTCAGACTGTTGGACAAAGTGGAGAGACGGGCTAGAAGGCTTATATCTAGTCTTGACCAAGTCTGGTGGGAACGGTCTGAACATCAGAGCCTGCAACACCGTCGGGACGTTGTTGGTCTTACTGTTATGTACAAGGCCAACATCCTCAAAGTTCCGCACTTGGCCCAACTCCGTGGAGTACCAGTAGTTCCCACTCGTAACACTAGGCTCTCAACCTTCAACAGTCTCATGCTGGAAGTGCCATTCTCAAGAACATCACTCCATCAGCGTTCATTCCTTCCGAGACTTACTCGCATCTGGAACTTGTTCGCTCAACAGATTGATACACGGGAGATCAGGTCAACTGTTCACATGAAGACTCTGGCACACAGCTGGCTACAAGATCATCCTGTTCCTTATATGATTGTTACTTAATGTTTTTTAATGAATAAAGGCTATTCCTTCTAAAGCAAAAAATACCAGGCTCATGAAATAAATGGGCATCTAGGAGTAGGTTTCAACTTAGCTTACATAAGTTAATATATGATAGTTCCCATTGTGTTAGTTTCAAAGTATACTCTTATGTAATAAATGAGTTTCTAGGTGTAGGCTTCAGATGAGCTGAGGTAGGATAACAGCTCTTGCTTGCAGTTTCACTAGGTATGTTCTTAGGCATCCCTTATGAATCCTAGTCTTAGTTTAAAAAAAAAAAAAAAAAAAAAAAAAAAAAAGAGAGAGAGAGAGAGAGAGAGAGAGAGAGAGAGAGAGAGAGAGAGAGGAGAGAGAGAGAGAGAGAGAGAGAGAGAGAGAGAGAGAGAGAGAGAGAGAGAGAGAGAGAGACAGAGAGAGAGAGACAGAGAGAGAGAGAGAGAGACAGACAGACAGAGAGACAGACAGACAGACAGACAGACAGACAGACAGACAGACAGACAGACAGACAGACAGACAGAGACAGAGACAGAGACAGAGAGAGAGGCAGAGAGAGAGAGAGAGAGAGAGAGAAACCTACCCCGCCGCCCTTCCTGTTGGAGATAGAGACGTGGACGAAGAGCGTGGCGGTGTCCATGGGCTCCCCCATACTGGAGAGCAACCTCACGTGGCGGTAACCTGCAGTAGGGCGAGGCTCATCACACAATGAAACCAAAATAACATATTAACAGCAATAACCTTTATGTATATATATATATATATTTAACTGAAAACTCACACCCCAGAAGTGACTCGAACCCATACTCCCAGGAGCAACGCAACTGGTATGTACAAGACGCCTTAATCCACTTGATTGTCAAGTGGATTAAGGCGTCTTGTACATACCAGTTGCGTTGCTCCTGGGAGTATGGGTTCGAGTCACTTCTGGGGTGTGAGTTTTCAGTTGCATATTGTCCTGGGGACCATTCAGGCTTGTTCGCATATATATATATATATATATATATTGTGGCGGACAAAACAAATTATTATGAGAGAGAGATAGAGAGTCCTCACCTGTCTGGATGCTGTCGAAGGGAATGGTGCACTGGCCGACGAAGTCGTCTCCGATGAACTCGTCATCGAGGACGACGAACCTGACTAGCGCCAGCTCCGGCAGGTTGATGTGGAACTCGAAAGTCTCATCGAAGATCGGGAAGCTGCTGTCATTACTGACGGTGCGGGTCTTGGCCTCTGGTGGGAGAGAGGCGGTGAGCGGTGGTGATTGATGGTGGGAGGGAAGGGGGGAAGAGGGAGAGCATGATGATGGTGGGAGGGAAGGGGGGAAGAGGGAGAGCCATGATGATGGTGGGAGGGAAGGGGGGAAGAGGGAGACAGCGATGGTGATGATAGGGGAGAAGGAGAAAGTGGACGTCAACAAGTTTGGTGGGACTAAAATGAGGAGGCAGACTGTTACGCTAATGTAGGGAGAGAATGAATCAAAATTATATTACGTATATTATCACACTATATACTACTACTACTACTACTACTACTAATAATAATAATAATAATAAATCTTTGTTTTGCCACTGCCATAAGAAGACAAAAGCGGAGGAGGAGCAGTCAGTTGACCAGACCACACACTAAAAGTTGAAGGGACGACGACGTTTCGGTCCGTCCTGGACCATTCTCAAGTCGATTCCATTCACAATCGACTTGAGAATGGTCCAGGACGGACCGAAACGTCGTCGTCCCTTCAACTTTTAGTGTGTGGTCTGGTCAACATACTTCAGCCACGTTATTGTGACTCATCGCCTGTATACGAGGAGCAGTCACATTACCTGTACAGTCGGCGGGGATGCCGAAGATCTGGATGACAACATAAGGGTCGATGATGGTAGCTTTGGTGGCAGTCGAGCCCCGAGGCTTGGGGAGGCACTGGCCACTGATCACCTGGGGGGAGGAAAAAGCAGCCACCATGATGGAGACGCCTTAGTGCTATAGCGGTGAGGAACGAGTTCGGTAAGTGAGGGAAGGAGAGGGAAAAGAAGAAAATAAGAGGAAGAAGTGGTGGGGGAGGACAGAGAAAAAGAGAGAGAGAGAGATTGACATAATAGCTCTTAGCATGCAGTTTCATTGGAAACATCAGCACCATTCCAGAAGGGAATGACAATTCAATTAGCAATTAAGCTAATGACTGTATTCACTGCGACAATTGCAGCTACAAACACACAAACACCGCGAGGAAACAAGCACCAGAAAACAGTTCCTCTGCTCCTTCATAAAAATGAATAACTCTTCTCTAAGATCCTTCCCCAGACGCTCACGACGTCGCCCACGTCTCCTTACGGGACAACATGTTCATTATTCTCCCGGCTATCGTCCCGTTACGTCCAACTGCAGTAAAATGTCGTAGATTTGCGGCGAGGCTTTATGTCTTAGGGCGCCGGTGTTAGGACCTTCTACGACGATGTGGATTAGCGGCCAAACTACACTCTCCGGGTGTTTATGTAACTCTACTCTGACTTGGCCTTAGTCCCAGCTGACTCTATCCATGGCCTTGCCCCCCACCTGTCTATCCTTGGCCTTGTTCTACTTATCTCTATCCTTGGGCCTGTCCCACCTATCTCCCACCTAGCCTTCACATCTACCTCTTCGTCTTGACTTCCTCTTCACCTGTTTCACCTATATTTTCTCCGATTTGTTCTCTTTGAATTCTCCATCTGCAACTGAGCTTACAGCCCTCCTCCTCTTAACCTCACCTAGAGCTTCAGTAACCCCACCTTGATCTCTAGTAGTCCCACCTCAATCTCCAGTAGCCCCACCTCGATCTCCAGTAACCCCACCTCGATCTCCAGTAACCCCACCTCGATCTCAAGTAGCCCCACCTCGATCTCCAGTAGTCCCCCTCGTTATCCAGTAACCCCATCTCGATCTCCACTAGCCTCAACTCGATCTCCAGTAGCCTCCATCTCGATCTCCAGCAAGCTCACCTTGATCTTGAGAAGCTGGGGTGCGACACCTGGGATGGTGTCTCTGGAGTGCGCCGAGAAGACTGATATGTGTTCTCTCATAACGGCCGGCTTGAGGAGGTAGCCGCAGCCACCGTTGGCCCGGAACCTGCCCTCATACACGTCCATCATCTGCCCTGGAGTCTGGAAGTTGAGCGCCACTGTGCAAGGGAGAGAAGAGAAGGGGTGGGTTGGGAGAGGGAGGTGAATTATCACTTAAAGAATACACCTGATAACTACAGCAAAGCTCAATGTGGATGTTTGTGTGTTAGAACAGCTTTGTTGTGTTTAAAATGTCTGTCTTGCCTTGGTGCTTTTGTGTATCTGGGACTCTGTTTGTTTGTCTGAATATTTGTCTAGTTGTCTTTCTGTGTATAGCTGATTTTGTCTGCATGTATAAGTATCTTTTTATGTACCTAGGCGTCTATCAGTGTGTCTGGCCCTCTGACTGCATGCTAGATGTCTTTCAATGTATCTGGGTTTCTGTCTGGTAATATTTTTGTCCATCTGACTGTCTCTCCGGACACAGTAATGACTGAGAAAGACACAGGGAGCCAATAACCATACCCATCTGGCAGCCGGCGTTCCAGAAGTCCTGCGGGTTGTAATTGGAGGAGTCGACTCTGGAGGAGTTCGGGTACACGCGGGTAAGGAATCTCTTGTTGTGATTGACTAGGTCCTCGGGGCAGGCGTGGGCCAGCTTGGCTGCCGACGACTCGCTCAGGCTACACATCTCGCTTATATTCTCTGGCGAGAGACAGACAATGTAAGAGAGAGAGAGAGAGAGAGAGAGAGAGAGAGAGAGAGAGAGAGAGAGAGAGAGAGAGAGAGAGAGAGAGAGAGAGAGAGAGAGAGAGAGAGAGAGAGAGAGAGAGAGAGAGAGAGAGAGAGAAATAATTAATATTTGTAAATACTTTATGTACGATCAACTAAATATAATATATAAAAATCTTCATTATTTGTTGGTAATTAATGCAAGAATCACTAATTACAAAAATTTAAACATTAGAATACATTTTTAATTAAGAAGGATTCGAAGAAAACTAAAATGTTGCTAGAAGAAAATTTGCTTCCTTGCCCTTGGAATCGGATTATTTAAATATCCAGCACTGAGAAACAAAAACCCGGCCCTTATAATCCCAGAGCAGCCGCTCAAATACCAATTGTCACTCACTATATGCACTGAATTAATGACTTAAAAACCGTCGACATCCCTAATGACTTGATTAATACCTACACTACACTACTCAGTAGAGTAGTATAGTTAATCGTAGCTCAGTCGATTAAGGCAGTGTCTGGGATGCTCCCGGACGCAGGTTCGAATCCTCGTCACGGCCCTTGTGGATTTGTTCATTTGATTAATAACTTGTTATGGCCGTCGACTCTAAAACTGAGGCTCATGCTTTACGACTCATGGACCTTACCTTGAGGTTACCTTGAGGTGCTTCCGAGGCTTAGCGTCCCCGCGGCCCGGTCGTCGACCAGGCCTCCTGGTTGCTGGACTGATCAACCAGGCTGTTGGACGCGGCTGCTCGCAGCCTGACGTACGAATCACAGCCTGGTTGATCAGGTATCCTTAATCAGGACGGCTGATCGCCAAACACCGACGGCCAGTTGTCATACGCTTAAATCTCTAGGATTAAGGAAATTACAATTGTGATGAATCCTTGCAACCCTATCTATCCCTGGCCCGTCCTTCCTTGCCCTGGACGAAGCAAGTGCCCTGGGGCCAGATTCACGAAGCAATTACGCAAGTACTTACGAACCTGTGCATCTTTCCCGAATCTTTGGTGGCTTTGTTTACAATTATTAAACAGTTAATGAGCTCCGAAGCACCAGGCGGCTGTCTATAACAATAACAACAGTTGATTGGGAAGTTTTCATGCTTGTAAACTGTTTAATAAATGTAAGCAAAGCCGTCAAAGATTGAGAAAAGATGTACAGGTTCGTAAGTACTTGCGTAACTGCTTCATGAATCTGGCCCCCTGGTTCGTGGGGGCTTGCGTAACTACTTCGTGAATCTGGGCCTCTAATGTACCCAGCTCCTGAATTCAACGACTTGGAGAGATGTGACCTACACACTGTTGCTATATCTTTAGCTTCCAATGTCCAGAAGCCCTTGTCACTTTCTATTTTAGGCGAAGTGAAACCTATTGAGAAAAGATATCGACATTATATATAAAAATACAAAAATAAAAAAAAATAAAAAAAAAAACGTCAAAAAAATGCCACTGCCGGTCGGCCGAGCGGACAGCACACAGGACTTGTGTTCCTGTGGTCCAGGGTTCGATCCCGGGCGCCGGCGAGAAACAATGGGCAGAGTTTCTATCACCCTATGCCCCTGTTACCTAGCAGTAAAATAGGTACCTGGGTGTTAGTCACGGGCTGCTTCCTGGGGGTGGAGGCCCTGATCGAGGACCGGGCCGCGGGGATACTAAAAGCCCCGAAATCACCTCAAGATAAGCTCAAGATAACCTCCCCAACATCAGGTCTGGCCAATCCGCTAACGGGAACGTATAATACCAGAACCATCGTACAGAGAAACATTTAAAAGTCTTCCGATAACATTTGCAAGACGCAAATTCGAACAAACTTATTTTCCAATTCCCTCGCTGGTGCTTGGACTGTCGACCGTCTCTTGAATTGTATTGCTTTTTCTGTATTGTTTATTTTCTGTTAGGGTTTTCTTTGTTGCTGTAGGTCAGTGTAGGCGTGTCTGCTTTCAGTGGCTACAGTGTGGGCGTGTCTGCCTGCAGTGACTACACTGAAGGCGCGTGGCCTCGGGGCTCCTCCCACGGAGACGATCTTAACCAGAGAGCGAGTAGCAACTTGGGACTCTTCACCATCACCAATGTTCTTCACGCTCTCTATAGTCATCCTCACCATCCTCACCACAGTATGCACTCACCTCACCATCCTCACCAACATCATCAGAGACTCCATCACCATCCTCACCACAGTCTGCACTCACCTCACCATCCTCACCAACATCACCAGAAACTCCATCAACTCCACCATCACAAAAATTCTCCCCTCCAAGATTTGCACTAATTACACATTCTTCACTATTTTTTCTTGATTTTCTTATTCTTCCCCTTTTTTTCTATTCCCATCTCCTTCTTCTTCTCCTCTTTATTCCGATTAAATTTCTCCTAATCTTGTGTACCTTCAATGCCTTCTTCTCTCTTGGTGTAATTTTTACGTTAAATAAGTCGCTGAGTCGCCTTAAATAAGTCTTATTCTCTGTCTCTTACTACTCACCATATTTATCAACCTTCTACCTATTCCCTCGTTCGTTTACAAGCCACCAGGACCCGCTTACACACGTATGTTCCGGTTCTTCCTCCCTTTCATCCTTTCCCCTTCTGTCTTTCTTGATTTATTTTGAATTACATTTTCTCCTTTGACTATTTTGAAGCTCTCACTCCCGTCCGTAACCTCTCACTCCCCGTCCGTAACCTCTCACTCCCCCCGTCCGTAACCTCTCACTCCCCCGTCCGTAACCTCTCACTCCCCGTCCGTAACCTCTCACTCCCCCGTCCGTAACCTCTCACTCCCCCGTCCGTAACCTCTCACTCCCCCGTCCTTAACCTCTCACTCCCCCGTCCGTAACCTCTCACCCCCCCGTCCGTAACCTCTCACTCCCCCGTCCGTAACCTCTCACCCCCGTCCGTAACCTCTCACTCCCCCGTCCGTAACCTCTCACTCCCGTCCGTAACCTCTCACCCCCCCGTCCGTAACCTCTCACTCCCCCGTCCGTAACCTCTCACTCCCCCGTCCGTAACCTCTCACTCCCCCGTCCGTAACCTCTCACTCCCCCGTCCGTAACCTCTCACCCCCCGTCCGTAACCTCTCACTCCCCCGTCCGTAACCTCTCACCCCCCGTCCGTAACCTCTCACTCCCCCGTCCGTAACCTCTCACTCCCCCGTCCGTAACCTCTCACTCCCCCGTCCGTAACCTCTCACCCCCGTCCGTAACCTCTCACTCCCCCGTCCGTAACCTCTCACTCCCCCGTCCGTAACCTCTCACCCCCGTCCGTAACCTCTCACCCCCCCGTCCGTAACCTCTCACCCCCCCGTCCGTAACCTCTCACCCCCGTCCGTAACCTCTCACTCCCCCGTCCGTAACCTCTCACCCCCCCGTCCGTAACCTCTCACCCCCCCGTCCGTAACCTCTCACTCCCCCGTCCGAAACCTCTCACTCCCCCGTCCGTAACCTCTCACTCCCCCGTCCATAACCTCTCACTCCCCCGTCCGTAACCTCTCACCCCCCCGTCCGTAACCTCTCTCTCACTCCCCCGTCCGAAACCTCTCACTCCCCCGTCCGTAACCTCTCACTCCCCGTCCGTAACCTCTCACTCCCCCGTCCGTAACCTCTCACCCCCCCGTCCGTAACCTCTCACCCCCCCCGTCCGTAACCTCTCACTCCCGTCCGTAACCTCTCACTCCCCCGTCCGTAACCTCTCACTCCCCGTCCGCAACCTCTCACTCCCCCGTCCGTAACCTCTCACCCCCCCGTCCGTAACCTCTCACCCCCCCCGTCCGTAACCTCTCACTCCCGTCCGTAACCTCTCACTCCCCCGTCCGTAACCTCTCACTCCCCCGTCCGCAACCTCTCACTCCCCCGTCCGTAACCTCTCACCCCCCCGTCCGTAACCTCTCACTCCCGTCCGTAACCTCTCACTCCCCCGTCCGTAACCTCTCACTCCCCCGTCCGTAACCTCTCACTCCCCCGTCCGTAACCTCTCACCCCCGTCCGTAACCTCTCACCCCCCCCGTCCGTAACCTCTCACTCCCCCGTCCGTAACCTCTCACTCCCCCGTCCGTAACCTCTCACCCCCCCCCGTCCGTAACCTCTCCCTCTCCTCCCTACGTAATCCCTTACCCCACAATCCTACTAAATGACTTCCATCCCTTAATCCTTCCGAAATCTAGCCACTATCCTCTCCACCGGGTTTTCTCCCCCACCCCCCTCTCTCTCCCTCTCTCCCTCCTTTCCCCCCTCTCTTTTTTGTCCTCCAAATTCCTACTTCATCATCATTATTTCTCTTTCCTTTCCACATTAGCTACCCTCGTTAGGGAGTGAAAACAGAAGATTTTTTTTCAATATCGGCATTTGGCAATTGTTTAATGAGTGCGGCCTGAGGTATAGACATGAGTTTGGTCTACCACCACCCGAATATATATTGAATTTATATGTATAGTTTAATTTTTGGGGGGGGGGTGGGGGGGATATATAATTGCTTGAAAATCACTTTTAGTAAATATATGATATAATGTACTATGTAGGTAAAGTATATTTAGTAACAGAGGACGTGAGAGAAGCACAGTGTTGGAGAAAAGTTTGAACCTTATCGTTTGTGTGTGGTGTGTGTGTGTGTGTGTGTGTGTGTGTGTGTGTGTGTGTGTGTGTGTGAGTGGGTGTGTGTGTGTGTGTGTGTGTGTGTGTGTGTGTGTGTGTGTGTGTGTGAGTGGTGTGTGTGTGTGTGTGTGTGTGAGTGTGTGTGTGTGTGTGTGTGTGTGTGTGTGTGTGTGTGTGTGTGTGTGTGTGTGTGTGTGTGTGTGTGTGTGTGTGTGTGTGTGTGTGTGTGTGTGTGTGTGTGTGTGTGTGTGTGTGTGTGTGTGTGTGTGTGTGTGTGTGAGTATGACGTGTTTTTCATTCATAAACATGGGGTCTGGTGGCTGCATTAACGAGCATTTGGCCATTATTAAAGAGGATAGGCTGTGATAGTTCCACTCCCGCTCAGCGATTTTCCACTTCATACCAAAGTCTGGCCAATATTATCCAGAATAAGGGTGACTCAAAATGATTCATTCCAAGGGGGTTGAACACACACAATCCTCATAAACCAAATACAAATGCCAGTTAATCTAGCCTCAAAACTACCTGTTTATGTATGAAAAGCCCTTGACATACTATTCACACAACCAGTTCTCAGGTTAAGTTCATTCCATCCAGCGGCCGACCCCCTTAGGACGCATTCATCGATATTAACATGCTGTTCTCAGGAATTGTTCTCGGAATTTTCTCAAGTATAAATTAATATTATATATTAGTATATTGTGCACATTTATAAGTAGGTGACTCGTATGAGGTAAGGTGACGTGTTTGGGTTCTGTTGGCGATTATTCGTATTCGTCAACACGTCTTTGACTCAAGTCCATTACATCCAGCGGTCGACCCCAGAGACGCATTCATAAATTTTAACATGCTGTTCATTCAAAACGGGAATTGTCTCAAGTATAAATTAATATTATAATATATTAGCATATTGTGTATATATAGGAATAGGTTAGGTTAAGTGTTTAGGTTCTGTTGGCGATTATTTGTATTTGTAGTACGTGGGTGAAGCATTTATAGCGTTGTGATTCGAACAAAATTCGTCAGCGAAGCACTTGTTCCGGAAGTGTTCGAACGAAATCAGTTGTGAGTCGTGTGTAAACCGTTTTTCATTCATAAACAGCTGGGGCCAGATTCACGAAGCAGTTACACAAGTACTTACGAACGTGTACATCTTTCCTCAATCTTTGACGGCTTTGGTTTCATTTATTAAACAATTTACAAGCATGAAAACTTGTCAATCAGCTGTTGGTATTGTTATAAAGAGCTTCCTGGTGCTTCGGAGCTCTTTAACTGTTTATTAAGTGTAAACAAAGCAGCCAAAAATTGAGAAAAGATGTATAAGTTCGTAAGTGCTTGCGTAACTGCTTCGTGAATCTGGCCCTTGGGGTTTGGCGGGTACATGGAATCACTTTTGGGTCTTTGTTCGGAGGACGGGCTGCGAAATTTCCATTCCAGTCACCTGGACTGTATGCGGGTCTCGAACCGTGGACCCCAGGCGTGTGAGGCTAAAGCGCTATCGACTGCACCATGAGTCGTCTTAAAAAGGAAAGTAGTTTTTTATAAGACTACTCATAGCCCAGAAGATAGAACTTTGGCTTCACACGCTTGAGAGTCCAGGGTTCGAGACCCATCCAGCCCCGGTGAATGAAATGTTAATTTCCACAGAAATGTGGATCCCAATTTAGATTTCGAAATCTCCCCTCTATAAATGCTTCACCCATGTGCGGCAAATATAAATAATTGCAAAACAAAAAACACACAAAAACCTAACATATACTAGGTCTAACCATACACTATTATATATAAAAATATTAATTTACATTCGATAAAATGTAAATATTTGGTCTTATAGTAAGTTAAAATGAAGGAGTTCATGTTTGGGGTCGGCTGCACCTTGGAAGACTCAGACCACAGTCTGAGGATGAGTGGTTCAGGCCTGAGAGAAAAAACCTCTAGTGGTTGATGATCTAAGTCACCACCTTGCCACCCCCATTTCCCCTTCCCCCTATCTCCCTGCCACCCCCTTCCCCTTTCTTCTCTGCCCAACCACCCGTTCCCCAGACCATATAATCACCTCCTGTCTTGGCTGTGTTGAGGTCTGAGAAGCGAGCTCTGTGAAGGGAGATGAGCGATGACAGGTCTTGACAGAGGCGCACCTTCCTCGGGTTGTTGTTCCTCTTGGTCTCGCCCCCCTCGTCCTCGTCCGACACCTCCCCCTCCTCCATGTCCTCACGAGCAAGCTTCTTGCCCTGTTGGTGATGATGAAATTTGGTCAAGATTGGCATTATTGAAGCTGAGACTAGCAATGTTGAGAGAGAGAGAGAGAGAGAGAGAGAGAGAGAGAGAGAGAGAGAGAGAGAGAGAGAGAGAGAGAGAGAGAGAGAGAGAGAGAGAGAGAGAGAGAGAGAGAGAGAGAGAGAGAGGAGAGAGAGAGAGAGAGAGAGAGAGAGAGAGAGAGAAGGGAGGGGGAGAGGAGGGGGGGTTGGAGAATACTGGAGAGCTCTGTAGAGTGCAGAATAACACTGGGGGCAGAACCGTGGATGGTGGAGAACACTGCAATGTGTTGAAGAGAGCTTGAGAACAGTGGCGCGCGTGTAAGAAAGTTGGCGAGTACTAGATCGTGTAGGAAAGCACTGGAAAATACTGCACTGTGCTCGAGAGTTTAGGGCAGTGAGAGAGAGTGATGAAGAATGTAAGGCAGTGATGGAAAAATACTGGGCAGTGAAGGGGCGTGTTCTGCAGAATGCTGGAATATACTGGAGCCAGGCAGAAGTTGGTGGAAAACATCGGAGCGTGTTGGAGCATGTCTCTCATGTTGGCCGGGCCGGGGTTTAGCCGCCGCCCTCCATATTTTAGGCGGGGGGCTGGTAGGCACAGCGTTGCCCCACAGTTCCAGCACTCTTCTGGCTCAAAAATGCTATTTGTTCATTCTTATGTGACTGTCATTGTGCAGTGAATATAGGAACCACACGTGCACACGCACCACCAGGTGACCAGTCGCCATAGAAGAGAGGAGAGGAGAGAGGACACACAGATGTAAACACGAACGGTCAGATCACCAGTCTCAGCAGAAGAGAGGAGAGGAGTCAGGGGTACATAAGAATATAAGAACATAAGAACATAAGAACATAAGAATAAAGGTAACTGCAGAAGGCCTATTGGCCAATACGAGGCAGCTCCCATTTATAACCACCCAATCCCACTCATATACATGTCCAACCCCACGCTTGAATCATGGGACCCCACTTCCGCCACGTTACGCGGTAATTGGACACACAGATTTATAAAGAAGCATGCGAAGTGCTTAATAAAAACCTTCCAGTACGTTTTAAGCTAAAACCTGGACTGCTACTCGAGCTAAGAGTCCTAACTGAGCAGATTCTTCCATTAGGAAAGATTCGGCGAAATGGTAGGACCACCAGAGGAAGGTAACATCTACACGAACTGAATGCGACAAAAGCTGTTGAGTCACACACATTATCACCTTAGTGATGGGAAATAAAGGTACTGAAGGAGCATTCTGTAGGACATAACTCTCATCTGGAAAAGGACCAATGTGGTGCTAAATATACACGGACAAGGTCAAGACCACACGCTGAAATACAGATCAATTACACTAACAATGGACCACTCATGCATACTAGACACTAACGAGTCAGAGAGATGACAGAAAGACCGTCGCACGTACACACGCACGCACGAATACACACACACGCACACACACACACACACACACACACACACACACACACACACACACACACACACACACACATACACACACACGCGCGCACAAGACGAAGCTGGAAAAAGTCCAAAGGTATGATACTAGACTAGTCCCAGAACTAAGAGGCATGAGTTATGAGGAAAGGCTGCGAGAAATGCACCTTACGACACTGGAAGACAGAAGAGTAAGGGAGGACATGATCACAACCTACAAAATCCTCAGGGGAATCGACCGGGTAAACAAGGCACAGCGCAACACTGGAGGGACGAGAACAAGGGGACACAGGTGGAAGCTGAGTACCCAAATGAGCCACAGAGACATTAGAAAGAACTTTTTCAGTGTCAGAGTAGTTAGTAAATGGAATGCACTAGGAAGTGATGTGGTGGAGGCTGACTCCATACACAGTTTCAAATGTAGATATGATAGAGCCCAGTAGACTCAGGAATCTGTACACCAGTTGATTGACGGTTGAGAGGCGGGACCAAAGAGCCAGAGCTCAACCCCCGCAAGCACAATTAGGTGAGTACAATTAGGTGAGTACACAACAAGCAACAAAGTAAAAGAGCGTGGAGAAACTATAGAAATAACAGGACACTTGAGAGCAGAGAAGGATGCCAGAGAGCCAGGAATGAATACTTCAGGGTGAGAAGAGAGGCAGAAAGGCATATGAAAACGATGCAGAAGGGCAATATGAAAACGACATAACAAGCAAGGCTAAGACTCAACCCAAATTGCTGCACAGCCACATCAGGAGAAAGACAACAATGAAGGAACAGGTAATGAAACTGAGGATAGGGGTAGACAGATTCACTACAAACGACAAAGAAGGAATAGCTAACCAGGCACCACTAGAGGAGTTTTAGATTACCAGTGGGGATGTAAGGAAGCTTTTGTTAGAGTTGGATGTGACAAAGGCTGTAAGCCCGGATGGAATATTTCCATGGATACTAAAGGAAGGAGCAGAAGCACTGTGCCTGCCACTCACTCTCCATGGTGTATAACAAATCCCTGGTGACAGGTGAACTGCCAAAAAATTTGGAAGACGGCAAACGTAGTCCCGATATACAGGAAGGGGGATAGACAGGAGGCACTGAACTACAGGCAAGTGTCCCCAACTTGCAAACCATGCATGCTAATGGAGAAAATTGTGCGAAAAAAACTAGTGGAACATCTGGAGCGAAGGAACTTTGTAACAACACCAACATGGTTTCAGGGATGGCAAGTCATGCCTCACAGGATTAAGTGAATTCTACGATCAGGCAAGAAAGAGAGGGGTGGGCAGACTGCATATGTTTGGATTGCCAGAAAGCCTTTGACACAGTGCCACACCAGAGACTAGTGCGAAAGCTGGCGATGCAGGCAGGAGTTAAAGGGAAGGTACTCCATTGGATAAGGGAGTAACTAAGTAACAGAAGACAGCGAGTCACTGTGAGGGGTGAGGTCTCAGATTGGCGAGACGTCACCAGTGGGGTCCTGCAGGGTTCAGTCCTTGGACCTAAACTGTTTCTTATATATGTAAATGATCTTCCAGATGATATAGAATCATTCCTCTCATTGTTTGCTGATGATGCAAAAATTATGAGGAGGATTAAGACGGAGGAAGACAGTATGAAGCTACAAGATGACCTAGACAGACTGAATGAATGCTCCAACAAATGGCTACTAAAGTTCAACCCGAGTAAATGTAAGGTAATGAAACTAGGCAGTGGAAACTCGAATCCTCATCAAGGCCCTTGTGGATTTGTTAACTGATATATCACGTTATTGTGATTTGTCTGTGTGTTGAGGTTATGGTAAATGTATATGTGTAAAGTAAAGTCAGAGAGGCAACACTATGAAATGGTGGCATTTATATAAGAAAATATACAAGAGGTAATACTGGGGAAGATACTAACAAAACCTGTAAAAGGAAAGGTTCAGCAACAAAGCTGCGACACAGGCTCGGAGGAGGCGACTTATGTCACCTTACCTTGAGGTTACCTCACCTTGAGGTGCTTCCGGGGCTTAGCGTTTCCGCGGCCCGGTCGTCGACCAGGCCACGACAGAGAGGAACGGACACTGGGAATATTATTACAGCTGCCAGAAAACCTTTTACACTGTCACTCACACACTCGACATTAGACATATACATGCATGAGTTTGGGTGCATATCAATAGACGCTGCTTCGTATGGATCAATGGATCTGAAATTCTCTTGATTCTTATGTTCTTAAGATATACAGAGAGTGGTTGCCAGAGGGCAGGGAAGAGCCAACCCGCGATACCAAGGGCCCCGTTAGTCCCTGTTCCTGCATTTGAGCGTCTGTTGGTCGACGGGGTAGGACCGTTGCCACGGACGAAAAAAGGAAATACCTACCTGTTACCTAGCAGTAAAATAGGTACCTGGGAGTTAGTCAGCTGTCACGGGCTGCTTCCTGGGGGTGGAGGCCTGGTCGAGGACCGGGCCGCGGGGACACTAAAAAGCCCCGAAATCATCTCATCAATCATCTCAAGATAACCTGATAACCATCATGTGTGCGTCCCTCAAGAGCATGCTTGAGGGAGCTAGGAAACAGGGCGTGGAGGTCTAAGGTAAGCTCTGTGGGATACCAATATTAGGTAAGGGTATCATGCAGTATGAGGCGATGAAGGAACAGCTAGTGATTACGAAACATATAAGAATATAGCGAAAATCGCACCAGACAATGGCAAAATACCAATTAAATCTAAATTCTATGTGGATGATGAAATGAAACTGATGTGGTGTATGGTTCACAGCCTCGGGAAGATAACGGGAGGCTAATCTAAATGAGGCCAAAATTTGCGTCAGAGCTGTTGTCATTTAGTCTGAAAACATTCTGCAAACATTTATAAAACAAACGTTTTATAAAGGCATATAAAACGGCTGAGAAGACCCTTTACATATGTAGCAAAGAATGTCACATCATCCCAAAGGATGATCAATCAGACTCCGTAAAAAAAATGAGAGAAATCCATGATTTTCCAGAGGCTGCAAGAGGTGGTCGACGTGACATACAAATGTGTCAGGGGACCAGGCTGGGTGTGGACCAGGCTGGGTGTGGACCAGGCTGGGTGTGGACCAGGCTGGGTGTGGACCAGGCTGGGTGTGGTCCAGGCTGGGTGTGTGGACCAGGCTGGGTGTTGACCAGGCTGGGTGTGTGGACCAGGCTGGGTGTTGACCAGGCTGGGTGTGTGGACCAGGCAGCTGGGAAGGTTTATGGCTTATACTGAATCAGAAACTTATGGTAAGAAAGTCCAGTCCAATTAGTGGAGTTTAAATCAAAGGAGCGACACCTGGATGTATTATACCATAAATACAGATTGTGGACAATACAATTACCAGGAGTATTTTAGATAAATACGAATATAGGGAAATTAGAGTTCGCGGAGAAGGACTGACGAGAGAGGAAGGGAATGGAAAGCACGGGAGAGGGGAAATATAATTAGTAGATTACTCTCCTCCTTTCCCCATTACCAGCAACAATTATGGGTTGGGGGACGGAATGTGTTGCTCGGTCCAGCCTCTAGGTCGGTCCAGCCTCTAGGTCGGTCCAGCCTCTAGGTCGGTCCAGCCTCTAGGTCGGTCCAGCCTCTAGGTGCGCTGACAGTGGGTGTAAACTAGTGGAGGGGAGAACACCTTTCCCCTCGCTCCCAGCACGTTCTGGTGTTGTGTGGAGTGCTGGTGTGGGAAGCAGGTGTGGAGTGCTGGTGTGGGGCCCCTGGTGTGGAGGGATAAGTGAACCCTATCCCGACCCATTACAATTCTGTTGCTGATGCATTTAATACAATGGACAACATTCTCATCTTTTGCGTTGCGTCCAATTTCCAAGTCGCCTCCCGTTGGCCCCGGAGACCTTCAAGCTCCGCGTGTCAAGTGTGGACGGTGGCAGGTGGCCGCGGCCCGTCACTAATGACCAGGGAGCAGCCACTGGCCCTCACAGGCTCATGGAGGTGGACCACTAGCGTCAAGGACCACCAGAGTGGACCACCAGCCTCACGGGGCCATGGCAGTGGACCACTATCATCACCGGGTGATGTGTAGGGGACTCACAAGGAAGCCAAACAGGGGGAGATTTACTCTCGTGAGGGAGATATAGAAGCTGAACCCCCTCCCCCCCCACCCAGCCGGTGCGGCGACGATTAAAGCAGCAGAGATGCTGAGCTGGTCCGGATGTGACGAGATGAACTCAACTGTGGTGTTGGATATCCTTTAACGAAATAAAGAGGAACGGTTTCGAGCGGATCGATTAGCGAACGTTGAAGCCATTGAGTGTGGCTGTGCTGCATAGCCAGGTGCAGCTTTAACCCCCACACCCCCATACCTGCGCCCTCACTGGCCTGCTACATCCCTCCCTCCCTACTTCTCTACTCTCTCTCTCTCTCTCTCTCTCCTCCTCTCTCTCTCTCTCTCTCTCTCTCTCTCTCTCTCTCTCTCTCTCTCTCTCTCTCTCTCTCTCTCTCTCTCTCTCTCTCTCTCCCACTCTCACTCTTACTCTCTCTCCCACTCTCACTCTTACTCTCTCTCCCACTCTCACTCTTACTCTCTCTCCCACTCTCACTCTTACTCTCTCTCCCACTCTCTCCCACTCTTACTCTCTCTCTCTCTCTCTCTCTCTCTCTCTCTCTCTCTCTCTCTCTCTCTCTCTCTCTCTCTCTCTCTCTCTCTCTCTCTCTCTCCTCCCCTCAACTCGTCGTCATCCCATAGCTTACTTGCGGCGCGAGCAGAGAGGAGGACTCTCAGCTGTTATTGTTCTCTCTATTGTTCGCCTTACACACACACGGAGCAGAATTCCAGCTCCCGTGAGACTATTTGCAGCACCTTTGTTTCCCGCCCCCCCCCACCCGGTGGGCCAGGGGGGGAGGGAGGGGGGCTCTCACCAGCGGCCCAGAGCCGGGTGAGTCTCATCCAGTCCAGCCTCTACAGGTAGAGTGGGTGAGGGATGAGGGGGGGTCATCCAGTCCAGCCTCTACAGGTAGAGTGGGTGAGGGATGAGGGGGGGTCATCCAGTCCAGCCTCTACAGGTAGAGTGGGTGGGGATGAGGGGGGGGGAGGGTCCGGAAGGTAGCGTGAGAGAGAAGGTAGAAGAATGGGAATAAGGGAGAAAGGGCACAATGAAGGATAGGGTAGGGTTCAGGAAAGGTAGACTCTAGGAAGGGGAGTTTTCCAGAGAGGGGTGTTGGTGGAGGGAGAGAGAGGGGGGGATAGTGGAGGGATAGAGAGGGGGGATAGTGGAGGGACAGAGAGGGGTGGAGGTTAGGGTATTTGAGAATAGCAGTGAGATGTGTGCAAGGAAAGGAGATTAATTACGAGAAGAAGGAGGAGGAGAGGAAGAAGAGGTAGGAGGGGAGAAGAGGAAGGGAGGGGGGGGGGGAGTCGGAGATGTGTGCGTGGGGAGGGGGGGGGGGAAGAGTAAGGGATATAACCAGGTAATGGGGCGAGAGGGTCAAATGAGACGGGGAAAAAAACAGAGGCAGGTGGAAGTGAAATCTGGAGATGGCACCCCCACACCCCTTTCTTGTATTTCCCACTTCCCCGTTTATTATTTTCCTCTTCTCCCTCTCCCCTCCCCTCCCCCACCCCCACTCCCCTCCCCCACCCACCTCTCCCCTCCCCTCCCCCACCACCTCTCCCCTCTCCCACCACCTCTCCCCTTCCTCCCCCCCCCTCTCCACCGTCATTGTCTGGAAAATGAGGTGGAGTGGCGGCCGGAAACGTGATATGTTTCCCCGCCTATATATAACAGGCTGCAGGTCCCCGCCTCTACCACATTCCGCTCATACACACATTAATTGACTTTTCCTCCTGCTGTTAAGTGCTAGGCAAAGGGACCTGACGGCTGAGTGGACAGCGCTCAGGATTCGTAGACCTAAGGTTCTGGGTTCGATCCCCGGCGGAGGCGGAAACGGGCAGAGTTTCTTTCCCTTCCCCCCTGATGATCCTGTTCACCTAGCGGTAAATAGGTACCTGGGAGTTAGACAGCTGATTCGGGCTGCTTCCTGGGGGGATGTGTAACAAAAAGAAGGCCTGGTCGAGGACCGGGCCGCAGGGAGGCTAAGCCCCGAAATCCCCTCAAGAAAACTGACCTTGGTTACGACCTCCATGATATATATATATATGTGCTTCAACCTACAGTTTAGACCTATTGTCTTATGTATGACTCTCTGTCCTGCGTGACAGTGAATACCAGCATTATCCTCACTTTAATAAGACTATCAAAATCCTCAGATTAGGCAAAATTGTAATTAATTTTGTCAATAAAGATGTTAACAATAATAAGGTTACGACCTGCCCCAAACCTCTCAGTCTGTCAGGTAATCGATCACGAGAACAATTAGCTGTGTGCTGTCTGCGCTCTAAGTCAGTATTGATAATGTCTTCATTCATGTCGTTTTCCGCCGAAGACGCAAAACTGAACAAAAAGGAAACAAATAGGGAGGACAGCAGCATATGCCGTCGGAAAGAATTCTGTAAGTGACATAGTTTTCTTTTTTGAGAAGTGGCTATTTGATTTAAGAACCAAATAAGTGTAAAGTAATGAGGTTGGAAGACAAGGGAACTATCAGGAGAAAGCGTCAAGTTATTACGACTATATAGCACTGGGAAGGGGTCACGATAACGATTTGGGATGGGACGGGGGGAAAGGAATGGTGCCCAACCACTTGGACGGTCGGGGATATGAACGCCGACCTGCATGAACCGAGACCGTCCATCTACCGTTCGGCCCAAGTGGTTGCGTGAAATGAGGTTGGAGGTAGGCTGGAGGTAATCTGGAGGTAATCTGGAGGTAATCTTGAGGTAATCTGGAGGTAATCTTGAGGTAATCTGGAGGTAATCTTGAGGTAATCTGGAGGTAATCTTGAGGTAGGGAGGAGGAGGACAGCACAAGAGCGGCGCACAACGAGACAGCCACAAGGCCAAACACAGCCAAAGGAAAATAACAATACTAGCCAAGAAATTTGCCATTAAGTGTCGTCTTATACTTTATGAAGTGTTTATGTGCTATCCTCTGGGACAAGCTCAACGGCCACTCAGAACACCTTGTGTGCCCTCACAACCTGATTACCTCAGACGATCACGATTGGGTTAACATGTGCATTATCTCATTGACCTGAATGTTGCAGACATACGTCCCCAGGAAATCAAAATACAGGAAAATGTGTACAAGATATTAAGGGATATGGACAAGGTAGACAAGGAGACAATGTTTTCAAATAGTAGTAGTTAGTAACAGTTGATTCATTGATAGATGAGAGGCGGGCCGAAAGAGCCAGAGCTCAACCCCTGCAAGCACAACTAGGTGAATATACACGAGTGGGGGGGAGGGGGCTCGCGGCTGAATGGACAGCGCTCTGGGGACGTAGTCCTAAGGCCCCCAGGTTCGATCCCCGGCAGAGGCAGAATCAAATGCGCAGTTTCTTTCACCCTGGCGTCCCTGTTCACCTAGCAGCAAATACGTACCTGGGAGTTAGACACCTGCTACGTGCTGCTTCCTGGGCATATATGTGTGTGTGTGTGAGAGCACATATGTAGTAGAATTAATAGAGGAAAAACAAATTGGTTAGAAAGGCGGGGTCTCTTACAGACTGACCTTGAGTAGGAACTTGTACTTGAGGTCTTCGGGGGAGAGGTCAGTGAGGGCCTTGACTGCGTGAGGAGGGTGGATGTAGAGGCGTTCTCCTAGCAGGTTCCTCAAGATGCTGGCCATCTCCTGCTGCTGCTTAATACTGCAGTGGTTCTCCAGGTGGATGATTACCGGATACCTGCCGCGGCGTACACAATGTTATACACAGCATGTGGCTGGTACACAGGTAGATACAGGGCGGGGGTGTACACACACACACACACACACACACACACACACACACACCGATAGATTAGACACACCGATTAGTCCCGATATACAAGAAAGGGGATAGACAGGAGGCACTGAATTACAGACCAGTGTCCCTAACCTGCATACCATGCAAGTTGATGGAGAAGATTGTGCGAAAGAAAGCTAGTGGAACATCTGGAGCGAAAGAACTTTGTAACACAGCATCAACATGGATTCAGGGATGGCAGGTCCTGCCTCACAGGGTTACTTGAATTCTATGACCAGGCAACAAAAATAAGGCAAGAAAGAGAAGGGTGGGCAGACTGCATATTTTTGGATTGTCAGAAAGCCTTTGACACAGTGCCACACAAGAGGTTAGTGAAAAAACTGGAGATGCAGGCTGGAGTGAAAGGGAAGGTACTCCGTTGGATACAGGAGTACCTAAGTAACAGGAGACAACGAGTCAGTGTGAGGGGTGAGGTCTCAGATTGGCGAGACGTTACGAGTGGAGTACCGCAGGGGTCAGTCCTTGGACCTATACTGTTTCTGATATATGTAAATGATCTTCCAGAGGGTATAGAATCGTTTCTCTCAATGTTTGCCGATGATGCAAAAATTATGAGGAGGATTGAAACTGAGGACGATAGTAGGAGGCTACAAGATGACCTAGACAGACTGAGTGAATGGTCCAACAAATGGCTGTTGAAGTTCAACCCGAGTAAATGCAAAGTAATGAAACTAGGTGGTGGAAATAGGAGGCCAAACACAGGATACAGAATAGGAGATGAAGTACTTAATGAAACGAACAGAGAGAAAGATCTAGGAGTTGATATCACACCAAACCTGTCTCCTGAAGCCCACATAAAAAGAATAACGTCTGCGGCATATGCGAGGCTGGCTAACATCAGAACAGCGTTCAGGAACCTGTGTAAGGAATCATTCAGAATCTTGTACACCACATATGTAAGACCAATCCTGGAGTATGCGGCCCCAGCATGGAGCCCGTACCTTGTCAAGCACAAGACGAAGCTGGAAAAAGTCCAAAGGTATGCCACTAGACTAGTCCCAGAACTAAGAGGCATGAGTTACGAGGAAAGGCTGCGGGAAATGCACCTTACGACACTGGAAGACAGAAGAGTAAGGGGAGACATGATCACAACCTACAAAATCCTCAGAGGAATCGACCGGGTAAACAAAGATAAACTATTCAACACTGGTGGGACGCGAACAAGGGGACACAGGTGGAAACTGAGTACTCACATGAGCCACAGAGACGTTAGAAGGAACTTTTTTAGTGTCAGAGTAGTTAACGGATGGAATGCATTAGGCAGTGATGTGGTGGAGGCTGACTCCATACACAGTTTTAAATGTAGATATGATAGAGCCCAGTAGGCTCAGGAATCTGTACACCAGTTGATTGACAGTTGAGAGGCGGGACCAAAGAGCCAAAGCTCAACCCCCGCAAGCACAAATAGGTGAGTACAAATAGGTGAGTACACACACACACACACACACACACACACACACACACAAAATCAAAGCAGCATTTGAAGTTTAATAGGGATGTCTTTGTATGCATACAGGTATCCATTATATGCATACAAAAACATCGCTATTAAACTCTTCAAATGCTGCTTGGATTTTGATTTTGATGCAATTTGAGCAGAATAAAGCGAGGAGCTTCCTAGTGATGGTGTTACGCTCTCATATGTAAAGGTCACCTGTTCTATGTTTACACGCGCCCAGCTGTTCTATGTTTACACGCGCCCAGCTGTTCTATGTTTACATGCGCCCAGCTGTTCTATGTTTACACGCGGCCCAGCTGTTCTATGTTTACACGCGGCCCACGTGTTCTATGTTTACATGCATCCACATGTTCTATGTTTATACGCACCCAGGTGTTCTATGTTTACACGCGGCCACGTGGTTTTTTGTTTACATGCGGCCACGTGTTCCTGTGTTTACGCTACCTCTTGCTTGTCTTCTACCCCCAGCGGCCCTGTCTCTAATCGGGCCTCCAGGATCGTAGTCTGGTCAACCTGGCGGGAAGGTGCCGCTGCTCGCAGCCTGATGCACATATCACAGCCTGGTTGATCAGGTAACACGTGTTGTGGTATATTGTGTTCCTTCCTACAAGTGTTGTGGTATGAACCGCGCGTTCATTAAACCCGTCTTCCATGAAAAGTGTTACGGAATGAAGCAAGTGGTCTTTAAACAGGTGTCGTGGAATGAAACAAGTGGTCTTTAAACATGTTTTTGATCGTATAAGAAGTGATTTGCACTCTAATATATAAAGCCATTGAGAGTAAACACAGAACAGACTTATGGAAGACAATTTAAAAAAAACGGATTGACCATGTGAGCGTGTAAGTGTGTAAGTGTGATTGTTTGCGTGTGCGTGTGCGTGTGCGTGCGTGTGTGTGTGAGACCAACCAAACAAGCGAGAAACACTCACACGGAGAAGTCGAAGGCGTAGTTGGCGATAGCTTGGACGACGTGGGTGAAGGGGACCTTGCTGGTGAGGGTGTTACCGTGGTAGACGACGGGTCCGTCCTGCCCGTCCCACACGTCCACTGTACACACACACACACACCCGTCAGGCACAGGTGACGGGCAGTGACGGGGGCGGGGTGAGGGCCGGGCCAAGGTCAGCGAGAGAGAGAGAGAGAGAGAGAGAGAGAGAGAGAGAAGAGAGAGAGAGAGAGAGAGAGAGAGAGAGAGAGAGAGAGAGAGAGAGAGAGAGAGAGAGAGAGAGAGAGAGAGAGAGAGAGAGAGAGAGAGAGAGAGAGAGAGAGAGAGAGAGACAGACAGACAGACAGACAGACAGACAGACAGACAGACAGACAGACAGAGAGAGAGAGAGAGAGAGACAGAGAGAGAGAGAGTGAGGGTTGACAGAGAAAAAAGAGCAGCGAAGAATTGAGGGGAAGAGGGTGGTGGCACCGATGGTGAAGATAGTGATGGTGGTGACAGTGAAGGTAGAGGTAGTGGTGACAGTGATGGGAACTATGGCATTGACAATAATAAATACAATGAAGGAATGACTTGAAAGCTATTCATAACAATTAATGTACAATTACAAATTAAACAATACCTTCATAAAATATTAAATCAAGATATGCTTAAATATAAATTCACTCTTGTTACTCTAACTCAGACAGTTGAATTAAAATAATTTTTATACAATGACTTCTATTTTAACTCCAATACTTTACATCAATCTTAGTTAATTCTTAACACATGCAGTATGAGTGGGACAAGGGAACTATTACTATCTACATATATATATCTTAACTTAATAGAGCACAAGCCCCGAAATTACCTTAATTATCCAAACTATATTAATTATACAGGTCTTTATTTCACAAATAATACGAATGTAAATGAGAATAACGGAAGCTGCATAAGTGTCCATGAGAATCAGCTTCTATTTATACTCATTCAAACTCACTCACACATATATATATATATATATATATATATATATATATATATATATATATATATATATATATATATATATATATATATATATATATATATATGTCTAACTTTCAAAACAATGTGGTGATCCTACGTCTGTTATGTTACCCGCTAATTTGGTCCACAAATCAACAATCCGCATTTCCAAACCAGTATTTACCCCGGACTTTGCTAAATCTAAACTTATAACTCTGAACTTATTCTTCCATCGGCTAATTTTATACTACAATTTGCGTTACATTAATCTCGAACGACAACCTACAAAAATTATAATTAACTGCTGGTTTGTTTACATATAACTAATTATAACTAATTATCGCGCTAATCAGCTACTTGGTGTTTAGAGACGGGGGGCCAGATTCACGAAAGCACTTACGCAAGCACTTACGAACCTTTACATCTTTTCCTCAATCTTTGGCGGCTTTGTTTCCAATTATTAAACAGTTAATGAGCTCCGAAGCACCAGGAGGCTGTTTATAACAATAACAACAGTTGATTGGGAAGTTTTCATGCTTGTAAACTGTTTAATAAATGTAACCAAAGCCGTCAAAGATTGAGGAAAGATGTACACGTTCGTAAGTGCTTGTGTAAGTGCTTTCATGAATCTGGTCTGTGGAGCTGTGGTGGTGAGTGCGCTCCTCTTGTTGACCACCGGTACAAGGTACCAGTATTTCCTTACCTTTCTTCCACTCATTTGTGTTTCCAGCTTCCATCTATGTTTTCTGATTCTATTTCCTCTCAATGTACTAAGGGTGTCCATGTCCATCCTGTCCATTCCCCCCCAGATTATCGTGTATGTCCTGAACATATTACCTCTGTTGCATCTTGGGTAAAGATTGAGTTCCCTTTGCCTATCCTTATAGCTCAACCCTCTTAGTTCTGGTACCAATCTTGTTGCAAACTTTTGTACTTTTTTCAATCCATGTTTTATAGTTAACGAAGTATAGATTCGAGGGCAGTGCTGCATATTCTACTATTGGTCTTACAACGGTTGAAAAGATTATGTTGAAAGAGACCTTATATAAAGTTTTAGAAGCTGTTGTAATGCCTGGCAGCTTGCGGTACGCCGCCAATGTTACCGGGTTTATGTGTGCCTCTGGTGTCACTCTCAAGTCTTTTTCTTGTTCCTATCACGTCTTTCCATTATGGTGTATATTCCTCCTGGTTTTCCTTTCTCCCATTCCTCTCATCATTATCTTACATTTACTGGGATAGAACTCTAACAGCCAGTTGTCTGCCAACTCCAGCAGTGCCTCAAGGTCATCCTGTAATTTCTGCAGCATTTCTCGTTTTTTTACACTCCTCTTTTTTCCTGTCTTGTCTTGGTAAAATTGTCGGAGTTTGGCAGGCATGACTGCCAAACTTTTTTTCTCCCTTAAAATCTGTTACCATTCAGCTACAAAGTTTTATCCTTTCCAGGTGTTCCATCATTCTCAAGCTGATTATTTTTCTCCAGCTCTTTACACGGAAACCGTCTCAGTGGCACTGGTCTCTAATTTAGTGCCGCCTGGGGGTGATGGAGTGATGGTGGTGGTGGTGGTGGTGGTGGTGGTGGTGGTGGGGGTGGTTGTGATGGTAGTGGTGGTGGTGGTGGTGGTGGTGGTGGTTGTGATGGTGGTGGTGGTGGGGGTGGTTGTGATGGTAGTGGTGGTGGTGGTGGTGGTGGTGGTGGTTGTGATGGTGGTGGTGGTGGTGGTAGGGGTGGTGGTACTGGTGGTGGTGGTGGTGGTGGGGGTGGTTGTGATGGTAGTGGTGGTGGTGGTGGTGGTGGTGGTGGTGGTGGTGGTGGTGGGGGTGATGGTGGTGGTGGTAGTGATGGTGGTGGTAGTGATGGTGGTGGTAGTGGTCGTGGTGGTAATGATGGTGGTGGTAGTGGTGGTAGTGGTGGTGGTGGTGGTAGTGGTGGTAATGGTGATAGTGATGGTGGTGGTGGTGGTAGTGGAGGTGGTGGTAGTGGTGGTGGTGGTTGCAACATCAACCTAGAGGAAATAGAGTTCCAGTCCTTGTCACCATCAATATTTCACATGTCCACCACCACTCTCCGCGTGCCTCTTTCATCTCCTCCTTCCTTCCTCCTGTCCCCTCCATCTTTGTTGCTTCCCCCTCTTCCTCCCTCTCCCCCTCCCTCCTCCTCCTCTCTCCTTCCTTACACAAACTACCAAACAAACCTTCAGAGATTTAGAGAGTTAGAAAGGCCAACAACAGCCACACTACCATTGCAAAACTAAGGAAGAGAGAGAGGAGAGAAGGGGGAGGCTGTTGGCTGCTTGAGGGGGAGAACCAGTTCTCCCCCTCAAGCAGCCAACGTAGACACCGTGGAGACGCAATCCAAACTTTTAAGATATTGAAGAAATCTCATATACTCAAACCAGACGAAGAATTTGAGACAGAAGCTTTCACAAGGATAAACACTGATGTATTAAGAGGTCAATTGCATGCAATACAGACGTGGCAAACAGATACATCACTTGCAATCTGGTCCAATATTGGAATGAATTGCCTTCTGGTGTTGCTGGCACAAATTTGGTAGAACTGTACAGTGCTTGTTAGTAAAGGTCACTGTTGACGAGGTGTAGCAGTGCCAGGCTTGGTAGCAGCAGCAGCAGCAGCTATAGACGAGGTGAAGCAGTGCCAGGCTTGGTAGCAGCAGCAGCAGCAGCTGTAGATGAGGTGAAACAGTGCCAGGCTTGGTAGCAGCAGCAGCAGCAGCTGTAGATGAGGTGAAACAGTGCCAGGCTTGGTAGCAGCAGCAGCTATAGACGAGGTGAAGCAGTGCCAGGCTTGGTAGCAGCAGCAGCTATAGACGAGGTGAAGCAGTGCCAGGCTTGGTAGCAGCAGCAGCAGCAGCTATAGACGAGGTGAAGCAGTGCCAGGCTTGGTAGCAGCAGCAGCTATAGACGAGGTGAAGCAGTGCCAGGCTTGGTAGCAGCAGCAGCAGCTATAGACGAGGTGAAGCAGTGCCAGGCTTGGTAGCAGCAGCAGCTATAGACGAGGTGAAGCAGTGCCAGGCTTGGTAGCAGCAGCAGCAGCAGCTGTAGATGAGGTGTAGCAGTGCCAGGCTTGGTGGCAGCAGCAGCAGCAGCAGCAGCTATAGACGAGGTGAAGCAGTGCCAGGCTTGGTAGCAGCAGCAGCAGCAGCTGTAGATGAGGTGTAGCAGTGCCAGGCTTAACAGCAGCAGCAGCAGCAGCAGCAGCAGCAGCAGCTGTAGACGAGGTGAAGCAGTGCCAGGCTTAACAGCAGCAGCAACAGCCGGGACTCGAGGCACGACACCAGCAGCAGTAACAATACCGTCATTGCTACTCTTTTCATGTTCAATTTCCATTTTTTTCACTACATCACGAAAACGGTTAAGAGTATTTCATGTTTATTTTTCCCTCGTGGTCGTAAGTTTTAATATATAACACGGGGGGGAAAATACAAATTTAATCCGAGAATTGTTGTGTATTAAAACATTATCCAATAATAATGTCAGTATATTCCGAATGTATTCATGAATATACATAAACGCTAAACAAACAGGCTCCCCATCGTGGTTATTTTTTGTTAACTGAATCACGTGTGTTTAGAGGTTTTTCTTAAACATCGATATTAATTATATACAAAATAATAACGAAACATTAGTATCCCAAATCTGCCACTGGTGTAGAAAAGTTATTTTTTGTTAACTGAATCACGTGTGTTTAGAGGTTTTTCTTAAACATCGATATTAATTATATACAAAATAATAACGAAACATTAGTATCCCAAATCTGCCACTGGTGTAGAAAACTTCGGCTTTGTCTGACTGCCTTTAATTGTTAACATCTCAATAATGTTAACAACTCAAGCCCAATTACAACTACTTTCAACTGGTCCAATACGAAAGCTTCAATAACAAAGGCTTGACTAGAATTCCCCGTCTCTGACTTCTTGCAAGGCCGGGGTTCCATTCCCGATGGTGCCAGTGGTGGGGTCACTGTGCCTTGACTCCGACCTCACAGCCCAGTTCCTTGTCCTCGTATGTCTTCCAAGTGCTCCGTAAGACATGCTGGCTTAACACTTTCTTCCCATAATAACCTTTTACCCGGAGCGCTGCGACGCTGCTCTCCGGTGATATTTTGCCTGTGGTTAATTAGCGCAATGCGGTTAACTGCCTGAGGAAAGTGC